AACTGACACAAGAACAGAAAATCTGCATGTTCTCACTCATAGGTGGGTGTTGAACAATGAGAACACATGGACACAGGAAGGGGAGCACCACACACTGGGGTCTGTCTGGGGGAAATAGGGAGGGACAGCGGGGGGTGGGGAGTTGGGGAGGGATAGCATGGGGAGAAATGCCAGATACAGGTGATGGGGAGGAAGGCAGTAAATCACACTGCCATGTGTGTACCTATGCAACAATCTTGCATGTTCTTCACATGTACCCCAAACCTAAAATGCAATAAAAAAAATAAAACAGAAAAGCACCAGGACATCTAGTAAGATATGGTTTCTCCAGTAGGCCCTGAGTCAAGTAAAGTGTAATTGTCGACTCTTTCTCCTAAATTAGTGAATTATTTTTTGTACGATGAAAATTATGAACGATATGGATGTTCAAGAGCAAGCATTTAGGCTCAGAACCTTTAAAATAAAATGATTAAAAATACAAAAGAAAAGGAAAACAGGTGGAGGCCATGTTTACCTTACTAGACTTCTGGGTCAGGATGACATTTTAAGCACTGCTTTGAACTTCACACACAGACACACAGACACACACACACACACACACCCTTCTCCGTGCAGTGTCTTGCTTTGTTTTGTTTCCAGCTTTATGACAAATAAATTCAAATTTAAATTTGACAGAATAAGATAAGTGATATAACCATCACTTAGATGCAATAAATGTTAACATTTTGCCTTAACTGCAAAACTGTATGTATCTTTGTGTGGCAGTATAAATTTACAGATGCAGCATTTGAAACTGGGTAAGAGATGATGACATTTAGCCAATAACAACATCAGCATACATCTCCTAAGCTAAGAAAAATCTCTTATATATCCTCGATACCTTTATCATACCCAGAAACATTATCAAATATACCCTGATATCCTCCATCCAGGCCATACTCAAATTTCCCAAACTGAGCCACAAATTCATTTGTAGTTAGCGTTTTCAAACTAGAATCCAATCAAGGATTATGCACTGCATTTAGTTGTTTTATATCTTTTGCTAATTTTAAACTAGAATAAAACAAAGCACAGACTGTGCTTTTTTATCCCCATGACACTGGCGTGGTTAAATAGTCTCAACAACAGCTTTATAAAATTCCACATTCCTGATTTGTTATATCTCATAGCACTGTTTAACACATATCTGTGTCTCCTGTACTCCTTATGTATTGGGAATCTGAACAAACATCTTGATTATACACAGATAAAACATTTGCGGTAAGGGTGCTTTAAAGGCAGTGCTGTTACTTCATATTGCATCACTTCAGGAGGCACACAATGCCAAGCTGTCCACTATCAGTGAGGCATAGTTTCATGATGATGGTTTTATTTTAAAGGGTGCTTCACCCATTATAAAAGGCAAATATCTGTAGGGTGGTACTTAGGCCCATCCAAATACTCTATTTCATAAAAAGCTTTTACCTAATGGTTCCAAAATTCATTGATAATTCTTTCCTGAACCAACGATTTCAGGATATCAAAATGGTGACTTCTACTGGTATCATTCTTTCTACACTGATTAGCTGTGAATCTTCTGCAATACTCACAGAGCTCATCCTTTAAAAAGCAATGTAATATCATCTTAAGGAGATTTTGGGCTGAGACGATGAGGTCTTCTAAATATACAATCATGTCATCTGCAAATAGAGACAGTTTGACTTCCTCTTTTCCTAATTGAATACTCTTTATTTGTTTTTCTTGCCTGATTGCTCTGGCTAGAACTTCCAATACTATGTTGAATAGGAATGGTGAGAGAGGGCACCCTTGTCTAGTGCCAGTTTTCAAAGGGAATGCTTCCAGTTTTTGCCCATTCAGTATGATATTGGCTGTGGGCTTGTCATAGATAGCTTTTATAATTTTGAGATATGTTCCATCAATACCTAGTTTATTGAGAATTTTTAGCATAAAGGGCTGTTGAATTTTGTCAAAGCCCTTCTCTACATCTGTTGAGATAATCATGTGGTTTTTGTCTTTGGTTCTGTTTATGTAATCGATTACATTTACAGATTGGCGTTATGTTGCACCAGCCTTGCATCCCCAGTATGAAGCCTACTTGATCGTGATGGATAAATTTTTTGATGTGCTGTTGCATTCGGTTTGCCAGTGTTTTATTGAAGATTTTTGCATACAAAAATTAACTCCAGATGGATTAAAGACTTAAACATAAGACCTAACACCATAAAAACCCTAGAAGAAAATGTAAGCACTATCACAGGACACAGGCATAAGCAAGGACTTCATGACTAAAACACCAAATGCAATGGCAACAAAAGCCAAAATAGACAAATGGGATCTAATTAAACTTAAGAGATTCTACACAGCAAAAGAAATAGTCATTAGAGTGAACCGGCAACCAACAGAATGGGAAAAAATTTTTGCAAGCTATCCATCTGACAAACGGCTAATATCCAGAATCTACAAAGAATTAAAACAAATTTATAAGAAAAAAACAACCCATCAAAAAGTGGGCAAAGGATATGAACAGACGCTTTTCAAAAGAAGACATTTATGTGACCAACAAACATACGAAAAAATGCTCATCATCACTGGTCATTAGAGAAATGCAAATCAAAACCACATTGAGATACCATCTCATGCCAGTTAGAATGGTGATCATTAAAAAATCTGGAGACAACAGATGCGGGAGAGGATGTGGAGAAAAAGGAACACTTATACACTGTTGGTGGGAGTGTAAATTAATGCAACCATTGTAGAAGACAGTGTGGCAATTCCTAAAGGATCTAGAAATAGAAATACCATTTGACCCAGCAATCTCATTACTGGGTATATAACCAAAGGATTATAAAACGTTCTATTATAAAGACGTGCACACATATGTTCATTGCAGCACTATTCATAATAGCAAAGACCTGGAATAACCCAAATGCCCATCAATAACAGACTGGATAAAGAAAATGTGACACATGTACACCATGGAATACTATTCAGCCATAAAAAAAGATGAGTTCATGTCTTTTGCAGGGACATGGATGAATCTGGAAACCATCATTCTCAGCAAACTGACACAAGAACAGAAAACCAAACACTGCATGTTCTCACTCATAAGTGGGTGTTAAACAATGAGAACACATGGACACAGGGAGGGGGACATCATACACTGGGGTCTGTTGGGGGGTGGGGGGCTAGGGGAGCAATAGCAGGGAGTGGGGAGGTTGGGAAAGGATAACATTAGGAGAAATACCTAAAGTAGGTGACAGGGGAAATGGAGGCAGCAAGCCACCATGGTATGTGTATATCTATGTAACAATCCTGCAAGATCTGCACAAGTACCCCAGAACTTAAAGTATAATAAAGAAAGAAAGAAAAAAGCAATATAATAGTCATTTGGGCAATTCACTAATATTCTGGTATTTGGGTTTTTTTTTTTTTCCTTCTGCATACATAGGGAGTGTATTAATCAGTTTTTGTATCAGTAACAAACAATCCAGTATCTTAGTTGAGCATGACACAGATTTCTTGCTCACAGGTCTGTGATTTGGCTGAGGCCCAGCTGTGGCTCTGGTGTGCTTTGTTCCAGTCCCTAGTTTGGCATTACATATCTCTCCCACCAGAACTCTGAATAAAGAAGCAATGGCTCCTCGCGATCTGCTCCTCTTTTACTGGATGGTATAAGCACCAAAGAGTGAAAGCATGAGCTGCCTCCCTTAGTGAGGATGACATGAATCAGAGCACTTGTAACCCCAGGAGAGACATGCAGTGAAAGTGAAAAATAAACTCTTTCATTTCAAGCTGCTGAGATTTTGAGGTTGGTTGTTACTGCAGCGTAACCTGTCTATCCTGACAAATGCAAACAGGGTACAGCTTAATTCTTTCCTTTTAATTACTAATTTACAGAGTAAGAAGTTTGCATACTAATAACCTCTACTGTGGCAAATAATCTTATATTTTATCTTTTCTTTTGAATGTCATTTTGGTCTTGGACATTTTTATTAATATGTTCAATCAAAAACATTATTTTTTTGACGCTCGTATGGTCCCAAACTCAGTCAGTGACAACCCCCACAAGCTGCATCCTTTTGTCAAGACCCTAATTGTTCTCTAGAAACTCCCTGATACAATAAGAGATCTTAAAATCACTGTAAATATTCCCTGTCTCAAACCTAGAATCAGCCAGTTCTATAAGGAGCCCTAGTTCTTTTTAGAGAGAATGCTATTTCAGAAAACAATATCTTAGTGTCAGGTGTGCTCATTACTACTGGATCATAATGATTTCAAAGTTCTTTCATTGGACAGAGTGGATAAAGCATGTATTTTCATTCTCTCCCCTATTCTTTGTGTGTGTGTGTGTGTGCACGCGTGTGCACGTGCGTGTGTCATTGTTTCCTTATCCCTTTCTCCACACACACTCACACCTACAGAGAGAGAGACTTATAGATTATATGTAAATTAGAGATACATTATATAGCTTATATTGCCTGTAAAATATGATATATATTACATAGATTATGCATAGCATGTTATATAGAATCTTATGTTCATACTAATATTTACAACTTACATTTGATTTTACAGTTATCCTCCTCCTAATTTCTTTGTTTCTCTATTTGTTTCTCTTTTCTCATACATTGAAAATGTTGCATTCTGATGTTACTAACCTCTTATTTATTTGCTTTATTCTAGAATGTACATAAAATAATTTCAAAATTATAATTGCAACAATACAACTACCGGGTTAAGATTTCCTTGAGTACTTTTGTTCTGAAAAATTGTGCCACCAAAAGATGTATAAAGATCCTGTGTGCAAAAGACACTTAATATAATTCCTTTTCTTGTACAGTCATGTATCTATTAGACATGCAATTCAGTCAATTTTTTATAGCTTTTGATTAGGAAGACAATGCGGGCAATTTTTCTTACACAAGCATCCTAGGACAGCTTGTTCTCTTGCCCTTCTGTGATTGCCTGTGTCATTATCACAGCTATTGTTCTGTCTTTTGCTCCTAAACTGTCCTCTCTGCCACAGAGCTGGCTGTGAAAAATGTTAAGCATTAAGTATTCTTATTCCAATTGATGAAAATCCTTCATCATTATGACCCTTGAACCAGAGCTAAAAGATTGGATTAGCACGTGTAAACCTGCCACTGAGGGGGAAGCACTCAATTGCAGGGAAGATAAGAATCAATGGAGAAATGGAGAAGGAGAAAGAAGTACAGCTCCACAGAAAAGGCTGGAGCCCAGCTATGACTGTTGGAAAGAAGGGCTGGTTATGGACATCCAGTGCTGTAAATACATTCTATAGAAGGCTGAAGGAACTTGTGTCAGAAGGCATGTACAACTGTGTTGCAGTCAAACAGAAGGAAATGCATTTACCCCACAACAGAAAAACAACACTAGCAACAACTGATTTTTATTTAGCAGTTTCTGTTCCTATAATTTACATCTATTAGGTCATTTAATTTCTTTGGTAAATCTATGTAGTAAGCCCTATGATTGTTCTTATTTTACCAATAAAGAAACTGAGGCATAGAGAAATGTTGTGACTTACCCCTTCTCCTAAAGATTGTAAGTGGCAGAGCCAAGATTCAAACCCAGAGATTCTCAGCCAGAATCCAACACATTATTGCAAGCTCTTTCCCCAGGAGCAAGATATTTGGCTGTGGAAAGCTAAAGAATTATTCAAGACAAATGAATTCTCTATTGCCTGTATAAACTGGTGATGGAAACCATTGAGGGAGCCCTGAAAAACCATGTTTCAATTCCAGTTAAGCCACTTAATCCCTAGGTAACTGTGGAGTAATCTTCATTTAGAAGCCATTATCCAATACTACTGCTCAAATAACACAGTGTGACAATTGTTTTAGGTACAATCACTACTTGATCATGTTGTGAGTGTACCTGTGAAGACAATTTATATAAATGGAAAATTATAAGATCTCAGAGACGAGTTTGATGTGTTTTTGTAGCATTTTTGTTGTTGGTGTTTGTGTTTTCTAAGTTTTTGGTTCTTGGTTTTTTTATTTTGTGTGTGTAATTTTGACTTTCTTCAGCACCTATACTTTCAGTTTTCTCTCCTATCCAAGTATCTATACCTAGGCTCCCAGCACACAGCCTGGTTTTTAGGTAGAAGCAACTCCCTGAGCATCCTGTGCCGATGTTATAGACCTAGTAATGACTCAGCGTGCTCCACTGACAAAGCTGACATTTCAAGGGCACTCTGCCAATTGGAAAGTCAGAAATAAACAAGAAACTGATCCTATGGATGCAAAGTGGTGAGAAAGCACCCTTTGTCTTGGCTCTTGATTTAAAATCATGTCACTGAAACTTAAAGTCTTTACTGTTTATACCTTTTCCACTTCCAGCACAGGAGTTTAAGCCTGCAAACACCTGTCCTTGATTTCCACCTAGCTCCTTGGTTACTCCCATGCTGTCAAATTAAGCAGAAGAATAAAATAAATTAATGAAATAATCATTACTCCTCTGTTCTCTTGCTCTTTGTTGACTTCATGATTCATTTGAAGACATGATTGCGAGAAAACAGAAAGAATCTGGGGAGAGAAGGTAAAGAGAAAAGCATACAGATCAAGAAAAAAGGCCAGCAGATCTCAATCTGCAGACCACAGAGTCATTTCAGGAGAAAGTTTACTAACATCAGTGGTTGTATTAATCTCAGTGACACTAGTTGCTATATCAACCAAAATTCCCAATAGCTTAACACTAAAAAAAAAAAAGAATGTTTTGCTCACATTCCAGTCGAATGTAAGCACTCTTGGTTTGGTGGCTCTCTTCCAAGCAGTGACTCAGACACGGTTTCCATCCATTTGTCTGGCCGTCTATCTTCAAGATTTGTTTGCCAACATCGCCACTGGCATCAAATATCCAGTAAGCTGACAAAAAAAAAAAAAAAAAAAAAAAGAGAGCGGAAAAAGAGCATCTGCTTTTTAACCATCCCAGGCTATAAAAGATGTGTCACAGCCATGCCCATGCCATTGGCTTCCATTTCCAACTAGAAGCAAGGGAGTCTGAAAGAAGTGGCCCCTGGATGGGAAGCATGACTTGCTAGTATAAAGTTAGCTGTCCAGACCACAATCATCCCTGGAGGATTACTCGGGACACAGTCCTAAGAGCCATTTGTGCAGAAAAAAAAAAAAAATGGCACAGAGAAGGAATAGAAAGGAACAAGGGTCAAAGGCTGCCATCTCTTAGAAACCTTGGTTCTCGGCTGAACCAATCAGCCTGAGTCAAAATTGTGAAGTCACCTGCAGAAGGCCTCTCCTCTCCTCTTTGTGCCTTGCTCCTCTCAGGTGTTCTCTTGATAAGCATTTACATTTTTCATGGTGACTCCAAGTTCCTTGGGCCACCCTATTTACTGGCAATTCTGACCCATTCTCTCCAGACATTGCTAGATGACCAGTTAGTCAAGAGCTTACATGCCCACAGTTGAGTTGAGCCCTGTTTTTGATAACATTCGCATCTTAATGTTCCTAAATCAATTAGCCTAAGGCTATAAAACTTTGGTCTTCATGAAAATGATTTAGTCATTTCATCATAGTCTAATTCAGGAGAAATTTGACAAGTAGAGAATCCTTTGGAAACCCCTCAAGTCACTGTACACAGGTAGCTTCCTATTATGCAGGAGTAAAATCAACCCGCAAATGAAATACTAAGACTAATAAAATCTCTGCCATTATCATAGCCATTTATAGCTTAGAAGCCCTTTAATTTCTACATACAAGTAAAAACACCATTATGAAAACAACATACTATGCATGAGAAGACTGAGACTTGGGTAAGCTAAATTACTTTCCTAAAGTCACAAGACATGTAAAGAGTAGGCTAACGACTGAAGCCAAGAGATCTTGACTTGTAATTCAGTGCCTGGTCACAATTCCAAGGGACATTGGTCCTTTCTTGTAATATGCAGTATTTCTAGGGCATTTAGAAGTCTGTCTTTTAAATTACTTCAAGCTAAAAGTACCCTATTGTTCTGTTTTCCAACCTTAGGTTTGAGATTCATTTCCTTGTTTTCTCGATTACCTCTCAGTCTGTGTTCAGATTTTCTTCTTTCTTCATCTTTAAATGTTTTCTGATGGCCAATTATCTGGGAAAAAAAGATTCATAGTTTGGCAAAAGTTAGATGGCTGATATTAATGCATTTGCTTCACAATCCATAGAAAGCTGCCCAGATTTATTGCTGTCCATTATTCCCTCCCATCCACCCATCCTCGCCAGCCTGCAACAAGCGGATGCTTCATGCTGTCCATTCTTTTTAAATCACAAGAGCTAACTGAACAAGTGCTAAACCAGTGTTGGAAGGTCGCAGGAAAGCAAGTAAAGACCTGCCACACATATAGTCAAAAGAAAACTGTAGTTACAAATAAGGTAAGAATAGATTTCTTCTCAAATACCTATGCAAATTCACTCTATTACGCAGCAGGGGTGATGTACATTTGCCACTAACTATGCGTAGGAGAAAATCTACCTCATTTACTCCATTTTCCCAGAATCTCTATTTTGCTCAAGACGCTGTGTTCCATCCTCATCCCGTATCTGTCTCTTTCTCACACCCCTAACTCCTTTCAATTTTTCCCTCACAATCTCTGTCCTCCCTTTCATTTTGTCTTCTAGAAATTCTTACCTAATTATTCATGCTTGGTCCTAATATTTCTGCTCATTGCTTCCTCTCAAAACTAACCATATTACATCTCTCTTATTTAAAACGGTATTTTGTGGTAGCAAAATTGAGAATGAGCTTCTAGAGTTTGCCTTGGCAAACTACAAGCAAAATTCAGCCTGCAATGCATTTTGGTATGGACCCCAAGCTGAAAATGTTTTTTACATTCTCAAAGAATTGTAAATCAAAACAAATAGTAATATTCAACAGAGATGGAAGGACCCAGAAAACCAAATATCGCTCTCTGGTCCTTTATGGAAAAAGTGTCCTATCCCCCGTTCTAGACTATGTAGAACCTCTGGTCTCTCGTCTATTGCTGCCCTCTGTAATCGTTATTATTCTTTGAAATTCTCCCTCCAGTTTACTTACTAAAGTAGAAGATACAGTGTTATAGAGCAACCACATGCAAATGGGAAATGAAATGTAAGGCCCCTAATATTTTTCTTTATATGGCATGACAATTATTAGAAGAGTTAAAAATCTCCTTTTATTTCAACTTTCTGTTTCGGGAAAAAACGTATTTTTGGTTACAGAGAACACCTCTTCAGATCACAGCCTTGACCTTCCCGATGTTTCAGAGGTTTATTGGAGGACCACCAGCGCTCTTCCCTCCCCAGCCCAGGAGACCAGGAGGAAAACGGGCGAGGTGGTGATGACATGGGAGGCAGCAAGAAGGTGGTGCAGGAGAAAGGTCTGAATAATTTACCTTCCAGGTGCATCTTAGGTGGATCTTACCAAACCACATCGAGCTAGAAACTGATTTTATTATTTTTCCCACATTTGAATGATGGCTCCTCTCGGCTTTTGACTCCCCTGTTAGCAGCCTGAGGTGCAACTGGAGAGGTAAAGTGTCTGGGAGGCAGTGATATCAGCGCCCCCAGGGAGCAGGCTATTGGCATGCTGGTTGTGCTGCCAAGCCTGACTGTTTCTCTGAGGCAAGTATCAGAGCCAGAGTATGCTGTGAGTTGGTAACAGCATATCCCGGGAAAGCCCCACTAAAAGTCCTGACCATTATGAGAGGAAATATGCTCTCATACTGTCAGCAAAACAGTATGAAAGCAAAATAATAGATAAGCAACAATACACTGGAACATGCTTTATAGCAAAGACCTACCAATAGTAGGCACGTATTAGCTGTAGAACAAGCTAAACTCACATGCTTAGCCAGCGGCTGTGAGCTTAGATTTAGGAGATAAATATAAAAACAGTAATAATGTCAAGGGAAAGACCCTTGCAGGCCCACAACATTGCTCCTACTAGAACGTATGTCTATATAGTGATTTTCATTTTCAAATAAACATCTACTGAGCCTATGTGACTGTTATATTTCAATCTAAAGATGAGACAGGGTAAGTCACTTATTAAGGGCCACATGGTTATAAATGACAATATGAAGCATTAGAGGGCTAGGGAGAGCCACAGAGATAAAGAGAACAGATAAAATTAGAAAGATGTGACTGTGACTGTCAAATCTGCTACTTAGAAGCTATGAAATTTTGTGTTAGTTACTCGCTTCTCTGAGCCTTAGTTTTTCCATTTCTAATGTGGGAATAATATCTACTTTTCATCTACTTTTCATGGATTTTGTGAGGATTAGAGGCTCTTTTTCTCATGTGAATGGTTCATGGCTGAACCTGTAGAGAGAAACAGGACCAAGAGAGGAAGGTGGGTAAGTAAGAAGTGCTTACTCCACGAAATTCAGGGGCAAGGTTGGCCTGTGTATCAAGACACTAGAATTTCAGGCAGATTTACATCCAGATTTCCATGATCTTTATGGACAAGAGAATAGAAAACATGCAGTTCTTACAGTCAGTCCTACTGTGACTATAAGAATTCATGGCTGCTGGGCACAGTGGCTCAGGCCTATAATCCCAGCACTTTGGGAGGCTGAGGCAGGAGGATCACTTGAGGTCAGGAGTTCGAAGCCAGCCTGGCCAACATGGTGAAACCTCATCTCTACTAAAAATACAAAAATTATAGGCATGCTGGCAAGTGCCTATAATCCCAGCTACTTGGGAGGCTGAGGCAGAAGAATTGCTTGAACCCAGGAGGCAGAGGTTGTAGTGAGCTAAGATCGCACCATTGCACTCCAGCTTGTGTGAAGAAGCGAGGCTCCGTCTCAAAAAAAAAAAAAACCCCAAAAAATCAAAGAATTCATGGCTACAAAAAACACTTCCACTCCAATCTATTGCTTGATGGCTGTTCTAAAACCTCGAAAACGGTGTACAAAGGAATTGTTCCTTCATTTCTGCCTCTAATTTGAATCTCCCGTTTTCTGACATTCTCAGCTTTTTGGAAGCCTTCTGAACACATTCATATGATGAGAATTATTTCCCATCTGAGAATGGGAGTTAGGGAAGGAAGAAAGGAAACAAAGAGGAAAATGCAAGACTAAACTGCCACTGGCCTTGGAGTCTCCACCCCTTTCCTGCACTTTGGCCACTGCTATAGGTAGTTACCAGGTAATATCTCTTCCTCCAGTGTGCAAAGTCTCTGGTATTATCACTTATGAAAATGTAACCTAAAATTGACAGAATTACTTGGGAAAGCAAGGACACATACCCTGGTGAAGCTGAACAGGAAAATAAACTATGATGCAGCCACCCAATTCCCAAGTGTGTAACCTGAAGTTGCCTGCTCTAGGGGATACAAGATTATTCCAACAGCATTATTCATAACAGACAGAAAACCTGGAAAAAAATTGCATGTCCATCAAAGGCAGAATGCATTAATAAATTGTGATATACCATGGAGCACTATACATTGATGAGCATAAACTGTTTTATATCTAAGAACATGAATAAATCTCAAAACAGAATCGTAAAGGGGGCAAAAACAACTCATATAAGAATATGTTTCCCTTATACAAAGTTTAAAAAGCAAAACAAAGTGATATATTATTTGGGTATAGCTATATGTGAAATAAAACTATAAACAAGCCAAGGGAATGATTGGTTACTGACCCCTAGGGACTGAGAGAGAATGCAGTTGAAGAGGTTCACCCAAAGAGTCTTCAAAGAATTAGCAACGTTCTCATTTTAAGCTGACTGGTAGGATTCTAAGTGCTTATTTTATTATTGTAATTATACTTTCTAAATGGTCCATATACATTCTATATACCCTTGGGTATGTATAATTTATTTCACAATAAAAAAATTAATGTAACCCAAACATGCCTGGGGGCCCCCTAGGGTCGCCACTGCTCTCACTCCACACTATCTTGAGTCAAGTAACAGATCAGTGTCAGCCCTGACTAGTGTTACAGTCTGGATGTCTGTGTCCCTCCCAAAATTCATATGCTGAAATGCTAACCTCAATGTGATGGGGTGGGACCACTGGGAGGCAAAGTCTCTGGTATTATCAGTAATGAAAATATAATCCAAAATGGATAGTATCACTTTAGGAAGCAGGAAAGAATACCTTGATGAAGCTGATCAGAAATGTAATCTATGACACAGCAAAACTATTCCCTGTTGGGATCCTTAATGGAATCCCTAATGGGATTTCATAAGTGCTCTTATGGAAGAGGCACAAGGAAGTTTGTTCCATTTCCACCACATGAGGACGTAGCCATCTAAGAGTCAGAAAGTGGACCCTCACCACACACTGAATCTGCCTTGACCTTGGACTTCCCAGCCTCCAGAACTGTGAGACATACATTTCTGTTGTTTGTAAGCCACCCGGTCTGTAGAATTTTGCTGTAGCAGCCCTTTGCCTGGAGCATTCATCTCCCTGCTTCTCATTGTCACCAACTGCAAGTGGCTTCTTTTTCATCTTAACCAAAGTTACTGTGCCCATCAGTCTCTGCTGCACTCTCTTATCTGTTCCCTTCATAACAAACTCATTACAAACTGTAACAGCTTTGTTTACTCGTTTCTGTTTCCTTTCTTTTTGTCAGTCTCTCCTACCAGAACACATGCCTCTGGAGAGTCAGGACTTTGTATGTCTTGTTTATTGCAACCTCCCATCTCTCAGCATAGTGCCTAGTATAAAACAGTGGCCAGATATGGTGATAGGAGTGTGATAATAAAAAATATATCATAAGCCCACAGTAAAATAATGACTTTGTAATAACTTGTCATCTTATGTGCCAGGGCTTACACACACACACACACACACACACACACACACACACACACACACTCATCGCCCCAAGCCCTGCCATTTTTTTGCATGACTCTGGGTTTACATAGGTAGCCTGTCCAGAATCCTGTCTTCTCTTTTCTTTGAATTTTCTATCTCCATTAAACTTCTATTTGTCTCTACTGTAACCACTAATCCAGATTATTTCTGTGTATGTTTAAAGTAATACAATTAAATATTCTATACTTGGAGAATAGCCTAGTATTGTTACAGCTAGTTCACTCAATTAGTCCCACTCTTTTGGCTGCTTTTGATCGACCCAGTAGTCCTCTTTCTGACTTCACTTTCATGCCTACCTAACTTCACCTCTATGCCTTCCACTGAAAGCCACTTGCCAGTATCCTAACCCCCTCTGCCTTTGTCCTTCCTTCCTTCCTGTACCACTTCTTCCCAAGCCGTAGACACTTTAACTCTCAGCTTCCTCAGTGTTTGCACCCGGGCTGCTAATCTCTGCTAGAGAAAATCGCACAACTGTTAATTCGTGATAATAAACTTCATCTGATTCTCCACACTGCTCCACAAACTACATTTCCTAGTCAGCCCACTCTTCAAATTTCAGTAATGATACTTCAAGATTTCTTCACTCTCCTTATATGTTTGATCTCTCTACATTCATACCTCATAAAAATTACCGAGTTGACTTGTCAGGAGCTCATCCAATCTCCTAACTGCAGTGGCTTGAATAGAGGACCCCAAAAAGACACACCCAGGTTTTAACATTTACAACCTGTGACAGCAACCTCATTTGTAAAATGAATCTTGCAGATGAAATTAACATAAGGATACTGAGATGAGATCATGGTAGATTTAGGGTGGGCCTGAAATCCAATGGCAGGCATCCTTCCAGAGAAAGGCAGAGGGAGATTTGAGGGACAGAAAAGATGGCCAGGTAAGCACAGAGGCAGAGTTTGGAAGTAGGCAGCCCCAAGCTGAGAAACCTGTTCAGAGAAGTGAAAATCTGCTTACACCTCGACCTTGATTTTGGACTTCTAGACTCCAAAACTTTGACGGAATAAATCTGTTATTTTTGAGGCACCCAGCTTGGGGAAATTTGTCATGGCATCTCTGGGAAATTTATGATGCCAACTAAGTTGACACCTGCGTTCGTACCTGCTCTATTCACCTTCTCTTTAGTTACAGTAGCAAGGGTGGACTGTTCCCATTTAAGTCCACAGCTAGGTTGTGGACACCGCAATAAGACACTATGGTGAGTGGTGCAAGACTCAAGTTAGATTGCCTGGGTGTCAATCCTGTTTCCACCACTTACTATGTGATGTTGGTTACTCACAGTGACATTCTATGCCTCAGTTTCCTTCTCTCAAAAAAATAGGATAACAATAAAAAGTACCTCTCTAGGAGGTAAGAGAATCATGCTGTTAGAATGGTTACTGAATAAAGAAGAGAACAACTTTTATTATTATTATCATTGCTAAATATCTACTGATTACTCCCCTCTCTTGTTCCTTCCGTCTTTTTTTTCTTCATGAGGTAATTTCTATGAACATTTAAACATTCTTGACCATTCCCTATCCAAACAAACATCACCACTCTCTAAACCACACTCCTCCCTCCAGCTCCCACCCATCCACTAACTCCATTTCACAACAAATGTTTTACTTGTATGCACTCCTTGCTTCTCCTTCCTCACTTCTCACTCACTTGGGAACCCACTGAAGGCTGCTTTCCTTGATTTCCCAATGAAGCTGCCCTTGAATTACCATGTACTATCAAATCCTGAACGAAATATCAGCCCTTATCAGCAACACTGGACACCAGTTCATGCACCGTTTTTAGAAAGCTTCTTTTTATCGATTCTGGCCCCAGCCCTCCTAGTTTTCTTCCTGCCTATCTGGCCAGTCTCATTTGCTGACTTCTACCTCCTCTAATGATTCCTTAAATGATGGGCTCCTCAGGGCTCTTTCTTAGCCATTCTTCTTTTCACATTTTACCTTCTATGAGATATTGACCAATCCCAAGACATCAATTTACTCACAATAGACTGATCATTCCTAACTTGTATCTCTGGCCTAGATTTCTCTTACACTTCCAGGCTCATATATCTAGCTGCCTACTAGACATGTCTACTGGCACATATTAGACACCTCAAATTCAACATGTCTTAAGTGGAAATATTCATCTTCCTTGGCCTTTTTGAAAAATCTACATCTTCTATCTATCCCCCTTCTCAATAAAGGGCACTTCCATTCACCCATTTGCTCAATCTAGAACGCCAGGAATCATCCTGGACTCTTCTTTTTCCTTTACTGCTTACAACTGATTTCCACTGAGTCTTATCCATTTGATATCTTAAACGATCCTCAGATTCCTTCTCTTCTCTCTCTTTTTCTCCACCGCTCTAATACAAGCCAACACCACATCACATATACCCTTAACTGTCTCCAACCTAGCTTCCCTTCAGTCTTTCTCCAAATTCATCTGGAATAATCTTTTCAAACTGTATTCCAAACTATAAATCTAAGCCTGGTCACCCCCCCCACCCACACACACTTAAAATCTGTCATTGGCTGGTATTTTCTCTTAGGATAAAATCCAAACTCTTTCAAAAGGTTTATCAGTTCCTCCACAATCTGGCTCTCGGCATTAGACGTCAGTCTCACAGTCTGCCTGGAGGGTTTTTGTTCTCGCCTTCCTCCATAGCTTAATGCCACTTCTTCCAGGAAGCCCTGATGACCCTGTTCCTTGGTGTTCTCTGTACTTCCACTAACAGTGAACCCTCCATAATGTGTTGGGATGACCTAATCAATGT